ATATATATATAATATATATATATATATATATATATATATATATATATATGATAGTTATTTATATAATAACAATATAACAAATAAATTAATCAATAAATGTTATACTATTTTATATAAAATTTAATTTAGATTTAAATTATATGCTAATTATTAAATTTTTATGACGTGTGTGTGTGTGTTTTCTATTTTAATGGATTTTAAAATGTAATTTTTTCTTGTCATGGCAAAGATTAATTTTCATTATTCCGGTCTTCAGTGTCACATGATCCTTCAAAATCATTTTAATATGCTGATTTAGTTTAGGAAACATTTCTTATTATTATTATCAATTTTGAAAGCAGTTATGCTGCTTAATATTTCTTTGTGATGCTACTTCAGTTGGTGACTGATACCAACTGAAACTGTGATGCATTTTCTTCAGGATTCTTTGATAAATAATTAAAACACAGCATTTATTTGAAATAGAAATCTTTTTAACGTTAGAAATGTCTTTACTGTCACTTTTGATTAATTTAATACATCCTTTCAGAATAAAAGTATTAATTTGTTAAAAAAAAAGATAAAAAGCAATTTTTTTTACAGTTTGATTAATTATCGAAAAATAATTTAATGTCTTTGGAATTAATCGTACAGTAAGACCAGGAACATGCATTTAAAAATCAATTAGGTCAATTCTAATTTAATGTTGACTATAATACTATTCATGCACTAAGTCCATGTTTTTTCTGTCTCAGTCCCTTTCTCTTTTTCCTGACTCTTTCTATTTCTATTTTAGGATGTGTTTGGATGCAAGGGACCCTTACTGTGGTTGGGACCGAAAGCAGCGCCGTTGCACCACCATAGAGGACAGCTCCAACATGAGCCAGTGGTTCCAGAACATCACTGCCTGCCCGGTAAGGACCAGTCGTTTAAAGAGTCTGCCTCACTCACTGCCTCATGCATGACTGATGTTTCGACACGTGTCTGTCGTCTCCATAGCGCTCTGACAGTCTCCCTCTGCAGCTTTGAAATCTGTGTTGCGTGAAAGGTGCTATGCCACATGATTGATAACATCACTTGAGGCAGCTGCTTTGTGGTCATTATTTTTTAGGACTGAGATTCTGCATGCAACCAACCTTCAAATTCACACGTTTTTTCTCATTTATTCCAGCTGAGGAACCAAACCACAGATGGTGCGTATGGACCCTGGGCTCCATGGCAACCCTGCAGCCACAATGACGGCGAAGGCACCAGCACATGTCTCTGCAGATCGCGGGCATGCGATAGTCCGCCACCTCGCTGCGGAGGTAAAAACTGCGATGGGCCGACCATTGAGGTGTCCAACTGTTCAAGGCAAGTAAAAAGTTTTTCCTTAAAGGAATAGTTAAGCCAAATAATAAAAATTCAGTTATTGCATTTCTACGATCAGTTTTTTTTTTTTCCGTCTGCCCGCCATCCTGCATCTAAGGTGCTGAAACTGAATTGTGTTTTTACCAGAAGTGGCAGTTCTCTCATCACGCAAGATTCGCTGCAGGAACCGAGCACTTTAGCAAATTGAGAATGTTTCCCGATCAAAATTCCTTACCAAACCTGTCCTTTCTCTTCCATCATGTCACATTAGGCTGGCAGCGGTGCCGAAAAAAAAAAAAAGAAAGTATTTCTATATCCCAAATGAGAAAATAGGCTTGTACCCATAACTTCTTGCCAAGGTTCACTGATGCTCTCTGTTTTTTCTTTCTTTCTTTTTTCTGCAGGAATGGAGGTTGGACACCCTGGTCGTCCTGGGGCCAGTGCAGCACAAGCTGTGAGATTGGTTTTGAAGTCCGCCAGCGATCCTGTAACAATCCTTCGCCCAGGCATGGCGGCCGAGTGTGTGTGGGGCAAAGCAGAGAACAGAGGTAAGAAAAGAGTTTATTTTTTATTTTTCTTGCACATATAAATGTAAAAATCAAGACCTGAAACATGATACTAAAATAACACTGGTGTAAGTGCATTTTAAGTGCAAGTTAAATTTAAAATCATTATAATCCAATAATCTTCCGCTCAACTGAAGCTGTCAAATGCGATGCCTATAGTGTAGGTTGGACGTCAGTAACAACAAATGCCAGGTTCACAAGTATCTCATAACCAAATGCAATGTTGTCAAACCTGTGGCAATTTTTCTTATAATATGACCCCTTTATACATTTCTCTTGAGTTTTATCAACTCCGAGCAGGCCTGACTTAAACTCATGATATGAGTAAAACACATTTTTTATGCTCACCAGATTCTGCAATGAGAAGGTATCGTGCCCTCAGCCCATCTTTTGGTCATCATGGTCGCCCTGGTCCAAGTGCAGCTCAGAGTGTGGGGGAGGGGTGCACTCTCGCTCCAGGAACTGTGAGAATGGAAATAGCTGTCCAGGATGTGCGCTGGTATGTACACCTTAAGTACACACACGCTTTAGCCTTGAAGCCTCCTGCACGACCGTGATAACCAAGCAGCTCCTCTCCCAGAAAGATATGTGTGATGTACTGTAAAAATGGAGCTCATTTGTGATTCAGGAGAGACTGAGTGGACTAGACAAATCAAATACACAACACACTGTTTCATTTTGAAGATTTATGCAGTTCTGAGACTGTCACTTACATTAAGCTGATCGTCTACACAGCCTGCCAATGGCCTTGTAGTTATTTACATTCATCACCTTCAAAATGAAAATGAAATAAAACATGCCTGTGAAGAGACTAAAAATAAACCTCTGTGAAATATTAATTGGAGTGAATGTCCAGGAAAGTGTTATACACTTTAAATGATTTTATGACTTATTTTATGTTAACAACAAAACATGTTATGGCATCGTGCAGTTCAGTTCAGTAATTGGTATTCTTAGCATGGCGAGAATCCATTACACAAAATCCATTGTACATCTCTGTCCAAAAGCATGCATACTTGTAGAAAAATCCATGGGTCTATAGAATTTGTTTGTTATATTTGTTTATATCTTTCATACATTATATGCTGTAATGCATCTTTCTATACAACAAAAGATCAGGACAAATCAAAATAGCATTCAGTTTCCTAAAATGCTCTCTAAAATGCTCTTTTGCTCTTACATTTTAAATCGGACAGATTTCTTTGCCCTCCAATTCTCTTAAGAGCTGCAATTAATTCAAATTTAATCGACTTAATTAGGACTCAAATTAACGTTCCTTGCAAAGAACTATAACACCCCCCTGGGGTGTCTAGCAAGGAGCCATTAAATTTTATTAACTGTTCACAGTGATGGCACAAGAATGAGCTTCACGTGCATCTTAAGAGGTGATGTAATGTCACCTGTGCATGAGGAATAAGCAACTGGATGATGTCCTCTCTTTGTCAATCTTCCTCATTGCAGGAGTACCAGGCATGTAATCTGGAGTCCTGTCCAGAGGTGCGCCGAAACACCCCATGGACCCCTTGGGTGCCGGTGAATATAACCCAGGGAGGGGCACGGCAAGAGCAAAGAGTTCGCTACATCTGCCGGGCCCAACTGGCTGACCCTCATGAGCTTCAACTGGGCAAGCGTAAAGTTGAGACACGCTTCTGCCCCAATGACGGGACGGTAACCTGTGAAACAGACTGTGAGTGTATAGATCCTTTTTCCTAATGCACACCCACACCTAAATGAACAGATCTGACTGAGCTAGCCGATACTGCTGGCTCGATGACAGTTCAGGGTCACAGTTCAGCCCTTGCCCACTTTGCGCATGTCGGGCGCCACATTGATTAAATGTATCTTCCTGTCTGAACTCGGGGGAGGTCAACCACTTGAGGTGCACATGGAATGCATTAGAGACAAGGGAGAACCTTGTGCAGGTTGCTGTGACCAGAATGTTTTTTGTCAGAGATGCTGTAAAACACAGCATGACATTGGTAGTTTTTTTTAGTAACCTTGAATTACACTCCTTAAAATAACACACTAAGAGAGTGCTGCAGTGATGACATATTTTAGTAGGCCAAACCGGAAACCGGAAACAATGGGATTTTTCCATTGGAAATATTGCAGACATTAAGCTCTGTGACCAACAAAAGTCTATGATTCTTACACATTTTGTTCATCATGATAATCTTTACGAATGAACACAACTTTTATGAATTTTGAAGTCTAAATACAATCGCCAGAAGTAAAAAGCTAAACGTAAGCAATAAACAAACTGTACCATGGTCTCTTGACTTTAACGTCAAGCCCATTAAACTTCCAAAAACTATGCAGTTATAAACACAATGAGGCTGTAAAAATGAGTTGAGATATTTTAGTAGGCCAAACCGGAAACCAGAAACAATGGGATTTTTCCATTGGAAATATTGCAGACATTAAGCTCTGTGACCAACAAAAGTGATTCTTACACATTTTGTTCATCATGATAATCTTTACGAATGAACACAACTTTTATGAATTTTGAAGTCTAAATACAATCGCCAGAAGTAAAAAGCTAAACGTAAGCAATAAACAAACTGTACCATGGTCTCTTGACTTTAACGTCAAGCCCATTAAACTTCCAAAAACTATGCAGTTATAAACACAATGAGGCTGTAAAAATGAGTTGAGTAATTTCTGGTTCACAGTGATGACATTTAATGTTCCCAACAACTTCTGTAGTCCCATTTAGCCACTTGTTAGCAAACATCTTTTTCTAGACTAGTAAAAGCTTTAAAAATATTACAAGAGGCTATTACTGGTGTATTTCATTGTAGGATAAATATGAAAATATCTTGAGCTTGTGTTAATCACAGACCTTGTTTCAGGCATTTAACCCAGAGCCCATTTATTGACTTATGGACGATGGGCCCGGATGTGCTAATATACTAACACTCTTCCTGGTTTTGACCAACAAAAATACATCATCCCTGCAGCACTCTTTACATAAAACGACTAAATGGCTGTTCACACCTAGAACAAACAGCTGTAAAGATAACTAATTATTATTTAATAATAACTACATTAGGTGGATTCTGGATCATCAAAACCATGTCAGTAGGCTGTGATAATAATAATAATAATAATAATAATAATAATTCAACGATAAAAGAAAAGTACTGACAATAACTGGCAAACTTGTAACATGTAATATATGTTTTACAGCACTAGTTGAGGAGCTTCTCAAGACGCCTGGTGTGCGACTGACAGGCTCTGGCTGGTCATCGTGGGACATGTGGTCAGCTTGCACTCAGGACTGTGCCAAAGGCTACCGCACTCGCAAACGCACCTGCACCAGTGCAGAGGGCAAAAGCGTTCCCACTGCCTGCCGGGGCTCTCCAGTAGAATATCAGGACTGTAATCCTCAGCTGTGTCAAGGTAACACACACCCTCAGAAACATGCATGTAAACACAAGCACACTCCACACGCACATTTACATATGTGCACACAAATAAGCACATGAATAGACTCCCACATATGTTCATAATCAAGGTAGTTGCTTATCATGCAAAAGCCTCTGCTTCCATTAGAGTGTGTGAAGTATATTACTGATTTCATTAGCTAATGGAATTCTGAAGCCCCATAGGGACCTGCTGTGGTCAAATTAAGAGGTTTCACCATAATTCCAAACAGACATGAACTCAAGGATAAATCAAATACTCTTTTCTGATTTAGAAATCACAAGATCAAATGACATTTCCAGTTAACACCAGAAGGTGAAGTGTGCAATGAAATTGCATCAAACCGAATTGCTAAAATTCTTATATTTAATGAAGAAAAAAAACAACAACAACAAATTTGCCTGCCACTGAGTTGCTTATTTTCTGTAGGTGAACAGGGAGTTGCTATTTGGTTGCTAAGATGTTTTCAGAGTAATTTTTAGCACATTGCTATAGAATGTGATTGATAGGGTGTTTGGGGATGCTAACTGACAGTTTCAGGATGCTAACAGACAGTTTAAGGATGCTAACATACAGTTAAGGCTGCTAACAGACAATTTGGGCATGCTAATAGACAGTTTAAAGGTGCTAAAATAATTTTTTCTCCAGGTTTAACAGTCCTCTTTGGCTCAAACAAACAGGACCTTGTTTTGAAAGTGCTAATACTTCACCTTTAAAGGATCACACTGCAAATTATCTGACCAATCACCCTGGAAGTTCCCAGCAGATGGTTTTGTGTCTTTCTTTAGACATATTGACAGCCACTTGCCAATGCATTGTCTACTCTAAACACTCTCTGAGTGTGACAAATGAACAGCCACAGTATTTGCTGTGCTGTTTTACAATCAGGCAGAAAGGGAAAATAGGATTGAAATAACAAAGCGGAAGGGGGTAGGGCACATGGATTCAAACACATTACTGACATCAGCCAACCATTTTAATAATTGTTTTGACCTCAGATGTGCACTCCAATCCAACGCCCAGCTTCTCCCTCGGTGTGCGAGGTTGCTGGACTAACTGTGATTGCGATCAGTCTGCCTTCACACTTCAGTCGTGCCCCAGTACACACATGCTAATCCACTGAAGTTAAACAGTGCTTTCTAGTGCAGAGAGAAGTAGACACCCCTAACCTTCTCCTCCATCGATCTGATGAGACGTCAAGAGGATGGTGGCAGGGCCTGTTAAAGTGAGAGGAAACTGCACAACAGCAATGCTTCTATCCTGGTCAGTTTAAGGTGGTAGCTGTGATTTGAAACATGATAGCTGGTTTCTAGCTGGTAGATCATCTACAAACAAGTTGGTTATACCAGCTTTAGGTAGTCAAGCTGGTTTTTGGAACATGGTGACCAGCTTGGAACAGCTAGATATCAGTCACCAGCTTAATCTGGATTTTCCAGCGGGATAAACAAAGAAATGGAGGTGAACAGCTGGCAAGTCTCGAGTGTTCGTTCAGGAGCTTTGTGGGTCAAATAAAGCTGTTTGAAACTCCAAGTGCGACATTCTGTCCTGAACTCTGAATGTCTGGATCACCATCACATCTCATAAAAGATGTCTGCTTGCCTTATCCGCCTTGTGGGAATTTCCAATCATGTCCGTTTTTGTTTTTTTTTGATTGTTTTGTGTTTGTCTGTTTGATTGATGCTGTTTTATGTTTGTGTTCGGTACATTGTGTTTGCATCCGCTGCTCCATCTTTTTTGTTTGCGCTGCATTTGTGTCTGCTTATCTGATGCTTGGATGATTGTGTCCCCCTCCTTGCCTGATTGTTTTGTTTGTTTTTGTATGTCGTATTTGTTTTGTACGTGTTTGGTCTGTGCAGTTAACGGTGCCTGGTCTTGCTGGTCATCATGGTCGCAGTGCTCAGTGCCCTGTGGAGGTGGGCACTACCAACGAACACGCACATGCACCAACCCCGTCCCTGGCAATGGAGGGGACATCTGCATCGGCTTGCACACAGAGGAGGCTCTTTGCAACACGCACACCTGTGATGGTAAGATCAGTTCCAATCCAGATCCACGAATGGGATGAAACGATGCTTTAAGTAAAATGTGCTACAAAAAACTCAATGCTCTCCAAATTGAGCTCTACCTCTGTCTGTAAGCACAAGATACAGTTGGTTTTCAATGTGTCATCCGTTCATCAACACCCATTATTATCACCATTTAGAAACATGCAGTTTCTGTAGAAGCTTGTTTCCACTATGGAATAAAAATATATAAAAAGGTAAATTTTTTTACCCTTACAATTCTTTTTTTTCTCACAATTGCAAGTCTGTGTCTTACAATTCTGACTTGTTCTCACAATTGAGTTTATATCTTGCAATAAGCTCATAATTGTGAATTTACATCTTGCGATTCTGTTTTGTTGTTATTGTTTAACAGCGTTTTTCTGTTCAATTTTTGTTTAATTAAAAGGTAGTTATGAATTTTTACTGTGAGTTTATATCTCACAATTCTGACTTCTCATTGTTTATATCTCTCAATTATTTTCTCAGAATTTTCTCAAAACGTCTGAATTGTAAGATAAAAAAAAGTTGCAATGACCTTAGTTTATTTATATATTTATTATAAAGGGTTAGTTCACCCAAAAATGAAAATTCTGTCATTAATTACTCACCCTCGTGTTGTTCGAAACCCGTAAGACCTTCGTTCATCTTCGGAATACAATTTAAGATATTTTTGATGAAATATGAGGGCTCTCTGACCCTCCCATAGACAGCAAGGTAACTACCACGTTCAAGGTCCAGAAAAGTACCAAGATGATCGACAAAGTAGTCCGTGTGACATCAGTGGTTCAACTGTAAAGTTACGAAGCTACGAGAATACTTTTTTGCGCAAAGAAAACAAAAATAACGACTTTATTCCACATTTTCGTCTCTACTGCGTCACTTTGGATGCGCGTTCACGACAGTACCATGACGCGAGCGTGTGGCGGCGCCGGCGCTGACCCAGATCCGGCGTGATGACCTTGCCGTCTATGGGAGGGTCAGAGAGCCCTCAGATTTCATCAAAAATATCTTAAATTGTGTTCCGAAGATGAACGAAGGTCTTAAATTTTTTTATTGAAACTGGTCAACTGAGGAAATTGTGCTGGTTAAGCTAGTTAAATGGATAGTTCACTCAATGACAATTCTATCATCAATTACTCCCTTGTGTCACGCTAAAACTGCATGACTGTATGGAACAGATATTTTCAGTCTCAGCATTTGTCACCATAAGTGAAACATTTTATTTTGTGTTCTGCAGGAGAAAGTCAGTGATAGTGAGTTCATAAATGATTACCGAATTTAAATTTTTCAGGTGAACTATCCCTTTTTAGAAGCTTTGTGAGCACACCATCATCCACAACACAACATATGCTGGTCTTTTAACAGGATAGTTTATGACTGACTGATTATCATTGCATTGAAGGAATGATTTCAGACCTTTCAATCACCAGAAGCACATTCTTCAGATTCTGAGAGGGGCTTCTGGGGTCCTCCAGGCTACAGATGGTACCATATGTGAGCTGCATGCTTATAGAAGTGTGCTGTGTGCAAGCAGACTGTGGCAGTGCAAAGCTTTCTTGTCACATTCTGCTGCCATCACTTTAAAAATCAGCTGTCCCTTTAAGACAAAATGGAAATATTTATGAAGAATGGATCATGTAAAGCCCTGTAGCTTATACTAATACTACTTTTGGCTCTCTGATTAACACCTCAAATCCATGATGTTGATGGTCCTGTGTTTAATTATCGATCAAATTAAATTAAATTCCTTTAAAAATATTAAGATATTAAGAAATATTCAGAATGTAAAATATCCCATATGTCATTTACAAGGTTCCATTACAGTTTGGATTCTGCCTTAAATATGTGACCCTGGACCACAAAACCAGTCTTAAGTCGCTGGGGTATATTTGTAGCAATAGCCAAAAATACATTAGTGATTTGTATTTTTGATTATTGATTTTTCTTTTATGCCAAAAATCATTAGGACATTAAGTAAAGATCATGTTACATAAAGATATTTTGTAAATTTTCTACTGTAAATATAAAAACTTAATTTTTGATTAGTAATATGCATTGCTAAGACTTCATTTTGGACAACTTTAAAGGTGATTTCATCTCGACCAAATATAGTCATATCCTAACAAACCATACATCAATGGAAAGCTTATTTATTCAGCTTTGATATGGTGTTATAAATCTCAATTTCAAAAAATTATGACTGGTTTTGTGGTCCAGAGTCACATATTCTTCATGACATATTGTTTGCTTAAGAAAAATAAATGAAGATTGATGTAGCAGTTATCGAGGCTGCCTTTCATCATTAACAGTGGATCTGCATTTTCTGAAATGCTACGATATTCTCTGGCACTAGTTGCTACTGATATTAAAGTATTTTGGATCCTTGATTCAAACATTTGGCCCCTGTTGGCCCCCTTCATGAATGACAAATTTGTTAGGTTCTGGGAGAGTTATAAGACTGCGTATGGTCTAGACAAGCATCTGAAAAGCTGAAACATGAAAGGAATGTGTCTGTTTACAGATTGGATTTTCCCAGCAAACAAATACATTCTAAATTAAAGTTCCTTCTAAGTAAAGTTTTTGGTACACTTGCTCTGAAAGTGTTGCCTAAGACTGTGAATATTTTTGCCTCCTCGTGTGACTCTTGCTGTGTTTGTTTCATGTGCGTGGGTGGGCCGTCGGGTCTGCAGCGCTCGGGTTAGATTGACATCTGAACTGTGAGGATGGCCAAAATTGGAGCGCTCCATTTAAAGGGGACATCGGATAAAATTTTCACTTTTTTTTAGCTTTTTTTTTTTTGCATTTAGTTAGGTTTCTGGCGTGTCTGCCAGCTCAGAAAAGTTGAAAAGAAAACACCTAACCAGTTTGTTATGTGCTGTCTGAGTCTGAAACTGTCATCCAGTAAGCTGTTTCAATTTGTAGCTGGTTTCTACGTCAGTAGTTAACTATTTGAATAAGACCACCTCCGAGCCATATACAGAGTCCAAGGCAGCAATTCACGTCTTTTGTCGACACGCCCCATTGAAGAGAGGGCTGGCGTTAGCAGTAGCTCATTATCATTTAAAGAGGCATGCACTGAAACGGGTCACTGTGAATAGAGCTGGTTTTGACAAGGTAAAAAGGGTGTTGTTTTACATGACCACTGAGGAATTTTAACCAAAGTATGTTAGACATTTCATGAAGACCCTAAAGAATCATGCCAACTTCTGGAAAATTGGCATCCGATGTCCCCTTTAAAGGGAGAGTTCACCCAAAAAAAATTCTCGTCATATACCGTATTGGCCCGAATATAAGACGACCCCCCCTTTTTCCAGATGTACCTTTTGGAAAAAGGCTTTTTAAGTTAAGTTGTTCCAAACCTCTGTGATTTTCATTCTTCTTTGCACCAACAAAAGGTGCCATTTTAAATAATCTACTGATTTCTCTTATGAAATTACTATAAATGTGGGCCTTAATATTTCAATAATTTAACAATACATTTGCATATTTATGGTTCTCTGATAATTAAATTATTAATATTAGTTTTAACAAATGTTTTAGTTTTATTATATTAGTTTTAACTCTATAAATATTACTATTGTAAATTACAATTACTGCAAAGTAAATCATAATTATTATATTATAATTGTAATTATAACAATTTTATTTGACACTACAAGTTACATTACTTATGTTAATGTCTTAAGTTCTTCACTTCTACACATTCAAACCCTCAAGCTTATAAAATTTAAAATCCTTGAGCTTTTATTTGATGGAATACTGCTGACATGCTGTAAACGTCTGTCCACAAACATTTTGGAAATTATGCAAATATAAATAAAGAGAACCTAGGACACATTGCATTCTCACATGCACATTTAACTCCCATCACATCCAAAGATGGAGTTTGTGAGAAGCAACATTTTCTAATTATATTATTACATTATATTTGATTATTATTTAAATTGCAGCCTTTGATTTGATAATTGCTCAAAGCTATATCGCAATTGCTGTTTATTTCCGATTATTTGTGCAGCCCTATTTATCTATTTTAATTTTCCATTTAATTTAATTTTTTTAGCTTTTCATCAACTCACAAACCCGTTATGGAAACCTTGACTTAGAATTTAGTGCAAGTCATTTGAAGCTCTATTAAACTTTAAATGCTGTTTTATTATATCTAATTTTGGTGCTTGACAGAGGAAAGTCACAGAGGTTTAGAAATTATGACAGAATGTCATGAACAACAGATGACAGAACATTTTGGGGTGAACTGTTTCTTTAAATCCTGTGTTTATGCCCGTGTCTTTGTGCAGGTGGGTGGATGGCCTGGTCGTTGTGGTCTGAGTGCGATGACTCGGGCCTGCAGCTGCGCAGTCGAGTGTGCGGGGCTCAATCCACACCATGTGTGGGAAACGGCTCTCAGCAACGAGACTGCAATGAGATCCCAGGTGAGAGAGAGCTATATATAAACACACGCGCATATATTCACACGGCATCCAACTGTTCCATTATGAAGCAAAGCTTTTCCCAATTGCAATGTTACTCTTATTAAATAAACATACACTTTTAAACCCTGTCAACCTCGCTGTTGTTTTTAGTAGATTAGATGTAATATGTTTACATGCGCTTATTCATTACTCTGGCTGGTGGAGTGGAAGTGTTCAAAGTGAAGAACTGAACGCACCCAGCCTGCGAGAACACGAGTTGTCGGAGCGGAATACCAAGTGAATCAGGCACTCTAATTAATATTAATGTTATGCCACAAGGCAGCCTCACATCCCATTTCTCTCCAATTTTGGAAAACGGGTTCTAAATCCTGAGGTGTCTTAGATGGTGAGGAGATCAAGGAGAATTGTGCATCTCAATCAAAACCCCCCAATACCCATCTCTGCTCTTTGTGGAGATTTCAGATAGAGCTTGAAAAGCATGACTCATGGGTGGTAATAGAGAATCTTAGACTCTATCACAGCAGTAAAAAATGCCGTTTCCATAGAAATGCAGCTCATTACTTCAACCAAAATGGAATATTTACTCTGAATAAGTGTTTAAAGTTTTATTTTGTAAAATAGCTCGCAACTATTTTTACTGACATTATCTGTTCATTCTCAAATACATGCAATATTTGAATATGTAATGGAAGTAATAATTTCATCACTTTCATGGGACCCGGCTGACAGGCTTTGATGTGATTTTCTGTACTTTATCACTGCGTCCCTGCTCATCCCTCAGGTATAAAACAGGAGACTTCCTCACCACCACCATCGCCCCACTTCCAGGAAGTTTGCCTTTGAAAGGAGAGAGTAGAGTGGGATAAGATGGGGAGTGATTGATGTTTTGGCTGTAATTCAGCAAAGGGAGGCAAAACAAGGGAGCATGTAATGACCTGTTCACAGGACTTTTTCTAGCATCAGCCTGCTTCATTTTTAAATTGTTGGTTTATGGTTATATTGTTGGTCACCTCCCAAAATTGAGCAACAGAAAAGACAAAAAAAAGCATGTAATTCTGCATAATATAAAATAAGTAAGCCTATTAGCTTTTAAAAGGATGTTTCATGTCTTTTGATGTTGACATCAAGGCTGCACATCTATTTTATAAAGATATGAATAATTTTGCAAATTGTTGGGCCTATGCAGTTCATGTAATATTGATACAATTGTTCTATACTTTTATATTATTTTTTTTAAAAATCTGGTATTATTTTTAGTCAACACTTCATGTCTAAAGTAAAATGTATATTTACATGCATTTATGCATTTGACAGTTCAACAATTTTGACAATTTTATCAAAAGAGACTTCAGGGAATATGTTCATGCGTTCCCTGGAAAGCAACCCCATGACACTGGCATTGCTGCTGCCATGCTCTACTGCTTGAGCTACAGGAATTTAGATTTTGAAGCAAAACTTCTTGACAGCCACTGCTCTAGATGAATGTCTGTGACTGTTCTGATGCATCTCGAACCATGATTGTTGTGTTTTTAAGATGCTGTGTCAATTTGAAAGATGTTTGGCATCAGTACAAGACGTTCAGAAAGACCCTTGCAAGAGCTCATCCTGTGTGAACAGCCACTAACTATACATCTCTTTCTCTTCACAGCCATTCTCCCGGCATCTAGCTATGAGAAGGACCAGCAGTGTGGGGGTAAGTGCTTTGACCGATATGTTTGTATGCTGTTCACCGCATGTTAGCATGCACTTATGCATGCACACTCTCGTGAATGCTCAAAAACATGTAGCAATGTGCTGCTTGTGTGTCATGTTTCATGTCAGCTCCTTTTCATTCCGAACTCAGGCAGAAATGGAATCGCTAAGCAGGTTTAAGTGAGTGAACTTCATAATTCACACTGCTGGTCTTCAGTTTTCCATGTGTCGTGCTCCATGGCGATTGTGGCTCTCCCATGCAGAGGTGCTGCCTTTCCAGTGCATGCACCAGATGAAAAATACATGAGGGGGCACAGCGGTGCTTTTTAGGTTGCGGATCCAGGCCACATCAGGCGATGACTGCTCTCAGAGGTGGCACCGCAGTGCCAATTTGGTGTTTCTCCAGGTGGCAGCACATATTACCCATCGTGCTCCAGCAGTGGTGCTCTCCTGAGTGATCGTTGTCCAATTAGAGCAGTTCATGGTGGGGTATGGCGTTCGTTCTCCTCAATCACATTTCGCACTCATTATGGGTCAGACCGGCAGGATGCCCGGTCCGTCACATCGACCAGCTAATCACAGCACTGTCCCTTGGTACTGCATCATTCAGCCAGACACTTTGAAACACCTGCCTACCGCTGGTTGTTGGCTACGAACATGTAGCGTTAATGGAGAGGGATGCAATGGTGCTGTATCGCTCCGATTCTACTGACAAGGATGACTATATTGTCTCATATGAAAAAGCATATTCAGTCAAATGTCTGGATGAAAATGACAACATATTACAGTTATTTGCAGACAAATGGTTACCGTAATGTTGTTTTCTCTTGTTTTCCCAGGGTTCACTCTGCTTCACCTGATAGCTACAGGCGTGTCGTGCTTCCTGGGTGCCGGTCTGCTGTCCTTCCTGGTGTATGTGTACTGTCAGCGGTTCCACAAGCCCTCGCAGGAGTCTACAATCACCCACCCCACCACTCCCAACCACCTCAACTACAAGGGCAACACCACACCAAAGAATGAGAAATACACACCCATGGAGTTCAAGGTCAGTGTTGACACCATATTCGCAAAAAAAAATTAAATAAAAAATCACATAATACTCTTTTATGCAGTGAAAAGGGTTTAGTATGTTGTTGTTGTTAACAGAAATTAATAGATTTAGCAAGGATGCATTAAATTGACCAAAAATTGTTCTTTTAAACTTTTTATTCATCAAAGAATCCTGAAAGAAAAACATGGTAAAATGTGCTACAAGAATACTGCACTTTCATTGATACTGTAGCTGAATGCATAATAATAAAAAAAATATATATATATATATATACCTGTGTATATATATATATATGCTTAATGAACACTCAAAAAAGGCAAAGATTTTTAGAACTTGGGAATAGCGTTTTTTTTTATTCTGCAGAGATCTGTCCAGATTCTGTGTGAGCCTGAAGATGAGTTTCTAATATATGCCGACTTGGAATCTGTGGCCTTGGAATTCCACAAAGCTCAGTGGATTTTGGCAGATTGCATATCCTGATTGTATTTATTTATTTTGGCAACTTTCAGTGTTTAACATCTCTGTTTTACACATTTTCCATATTCAAATCTATTTCGCAGATGTTAGGCTCGTCAGGATGTTCAATCAGATTAATGTCTCGATAGCACCAGTGTTTACACTTTTTGTGGGAATATGCCTACAAATGCCTTTTATATAGTCTCTGCATATTAAGCTGTGAGTATTTCAGCATCAGAAAAATATATTTTTCTTTTACATTTCCCCACAGATGAGCTATCAGAAAAAGTTGCGAGCAGTCAAGTAACCGATAACCACATGCTCATTTGTTTTGTCTGAAATGAGCATCACTAGATAACTGATAGTTTGGAGATTACCGCTGGTTTCACTCTCCCCACGGCCGCTTGTTTAGCCGCCTCTTCTGGCTGCACGCGGTTCCTGGCACACACTCTGTCTTTATTAATGGGCTCCATTAGGCTGTTTAAGCAGCAGCCGCTCAGTGGACTCCCACAGCTGGTTGTGACTGATCGTCAAGCTCATCCAATTAGTTTGGCTCGGCTCGCTCTCCCTCCACCTCGTGTCCTTGCTGTGACACCTGCGCGAGCCTTTTGCCACTTTTTCCATCGATCTTCTGCATGACCACTACTCACTCGAAACTCATTATGAGACTTGTGCAATACAAGTGGATCGAGAAAGAAGTGGCCACTGCAAAAGGCAGCCGCTCTGGTCTCTCTTTGTCCATGTATTCCCAGGGCATGTCGGTGCGCAGATGGCTGTGTGATATTAACCGTGTGACACGGAGGCTCTCTGATTGATGGCTGTTTGAATAAGCATCCGTTGAGAGCCACATCGTAAATCAGGATGAATATTCCGATTGCGCACAGGGAACGGTTTGTCGAAAGCCTGCTAAAGATACCACAGTTAGGAAGATGTAATTTGGTATCGTAATAGCAGACAAACATTCCCTTCACTTGTCACTCATTGACTCTTGGACAAAAAAGCTATTTCATCGGTCTTGTTCAGCCTGAAAATGGAGATCTCAGCCTCTTTGTAAAGCTATTGTTTGCCAGGTATTGAAAACTATAATTGTTGCACAGCAGTTCTCAGCTACGGTGAGTCACTCAAATCAATCTTGTATATTTCATAGCTTCACTCCCCCAGTAACTGAGCTACAGCTTTTTTAGAGCTAGACAAATGATTTCTCGAGAGCTCTACATTTCATACACATACACATACACGCTACTTTCATCCATGACCCTGAGTTCACCACTTCTAAATTAAAACGTTTATCAGCTGTGGTCTCCATTCAGTAGTGCCTTACATATTTAAAGGTGCAGTGTGTCATATCTGCTCCACTAGTACCACCAAACAGAATCGCAATTTCTCGATTTCGTTCTATTGTGGCGATAGGGTTGCTATACAGTTGCTAGGGTGCTCTGAAAGTTACATGCATTTAAAATGTTGCTGTGTGGTTGCTGTGAAGTACTAAGTGGTTTTATCTTAAGTAGTAGATAAGCGGTTTCTTGAGTGTTCTGAGTAAATTTTAGCATTTTTCTAGGGTTCTTTAATGCTTTGACACAATCAGTATTGTATAAAGTGCTATACAAATAAAGGTGACTTGACTTGTTCTGCGAGGGGGTTTTGTGTGTGTGTGTGTGTGTGTGTGTGTGTGTTGCTATAAGGGTTGCTAGGTTGGTTTGAATGTTTTTTTTTTGTTTTTGTTTTTTTGCTGTGTGGTTTAATATAGTAAAAGTGTAGTAACCATAGTTTTTTGGTTGATTGATTACTATTTGTATAGCCACAGTTTTACTACAAATAATACCACAATTAAACTATGGTTAGGGTAGCTAAACCATAGTTAATTTGTGATTACCATGGTTTAACTACAAGAACCAGTTTTTTTTTGTGTGTGTGTTCTATGTTGTTTTAATATGTTGCCATTCGGTTTCTGGTGTGTTCTGAGTGATTTTTAGCATGTTGTTAGGATCTTCTTCAGTGATTTTAGCATGTTGTTGTGTGGTTGCTAGCGGGTTCTTTGAGGTTTTTAACGTATTTCTATGCAAATTGGTGTTCTGAGTGGTTTTTACATGCTGCTATTTGTTTGCCTGGGAGCTCTGAGTGGTTTTTAAAATGTTGCTGTGTGGTTGCTGTCTTTGGTGTTCTTTAGCGTGTTACTATGCTTGGGTGGTTTGTATGGATTTTAACACGTTGCAGATGCTGGAATGTTCTAAGTGGTTTTAACATGTTGTTTTGTGGTTTTTAGAGTTACAGCATGTTGTTAGTGTGTTCTTCAGTGATTTTTGACATCTTGCTAGAGTGTTGTTGTTGTTGTTTTAATGTTGCTATGCAGTTGCTGGGGAGTTTTAAGTGGTTTCAACATGTTGCTGTGTGGTTTCTACAGTATTCTGAGTGATTTTTAGCACATTATGTAGTTCTTCCATGGTTTTTAGCATGTTGCTGTGTTGTTTCTAGAGTATCCTGAGTGTTTTTTTAGCATGTTGCCGTGCAGTTGCTATGTTGTTCAAATCAAAAGACCCCGTTCAAAGGTCTATGATATTCTGGTCCTTAGATGTGGCTCAGGTCTCTCCTTCGTTGTAAGGATTTACAAACTATGGGATTTACAAACTCCTGCCATTGGTTGAGACAATATTTGAGCTGCTCAAACATGCTAGTGGTGCAGATATTACACCCTGTACTTTTAAGGAACTAGCTGGATAAGAGTTTACATGTGTTAAGCTGAAGTGTTTCCTGAAGGTGTGAAATCTTGCTGTGTGCTTTCAACATTCTCATATTCTGTTCTTTTAGTTCTCAAGGTCACAAGAGGTTTGCAGACTGTGAGATCAGTGGTGTTTCATCTCAGAGATTGATGGATAGTTGTTTGCCTCTCAGCTCATCTAACACTCTTTTTGTCTTTTTGTCTATTTGTTTTTGTCCACAGACTCTGAATAAGAACAATTTGCTGCCAGATGAGAGGACCAACTACTTCCCTTCACCGCTTCAGCAGACGAACGTGTACACCACCACATACTACCCCACAGCGCTGGGCAAATATGACTACCGGGCAGACTCCTCACCGTCTCCTTGCAGAACCTATAACCACAGCTAAGGCACGTGTCCCATCCGTAGCTTTATCACCATGGTGACAAGGCTGCTCCGTACATCTCCTAAAACCCTCCACTTTCCCCACCCACACACTCTGCACCCGATGAGGTGCTTGTTCCAACATTCCAGCTGATTTTTTCCCTAAGATCTCTTCCCTGACGACCGCGTCACCTAAGTCATGCCTTACGGTGTCCAATGAGAGGAAAGTCCAGTGATTCAAACAGCACTTTTTAAAGATTGTGTAGCTACACTGACTTTGATAAACTGGTGTCTTGATTGATCGCTGCAGAACTCCTTTTACTGGAAAGAGGTTTTGCTGAAGCTCAAGGTGGGAAGACAGAATTGTGCTGGCATCCCGTACCACTCCAACAATATCCATTACAGGAAATGCAATCTGCCACACTGTGGCAGTTCTTTTTGAAACTACAGAAGAAGAATAGACGGACACCAGACGAAAGAGAGCAATCAATAGTGACATTATTAGGTTTGGTCAGAACGGCGGAATTGTTACCTTTGGATGTAAATGTAAGGATGTCCCACTGACTTCCAACCTTTGAGGGGCAAATCTCTGACAAAAGAGGATGGTTGCAGGATCAATGCATCTCCTGGGTGAACCGTTCAGATACGAGTTCGGAACCAAGCTGCAGAAAAAAGAACAGCTTAAAATAGGATGCTATTCAGAACGGACTCTTATCAGAACTGAAACATAGATTTTCAGCAAGTTAAAAGGCCAGAAGAATGCGTCATTATTTCCCTGAAAAGTCGAAATGCCTTTTTTACTTGCGAATGCATGGGAATTGAGGAATATTGCACCAACATGGAATATGCTTAGGTCTGAAGCAAACATGCTCTGCTCTGTTACTGTAAGTCCCGGTGGTCATATTAAATATGACTGGGTTCAAACTGAGACGGACTATATTTTATTATGAAAAAATGTAGGAAATATTGATAGCTTGGCACTTGTTTTATACGTTTATTTTAAAGAGGGAATTATTCAGCAGTTGTAGTATATAGATGGACAATAGAGTTTATTTAAGATATGAGTACAAACATTGACGGAGCTATACTGAACATTTCATATATTATTTTTTCTTATTGTTTCCAGATGGTATATTCCTAACCATCATCACATTCATCAGAGATATGAGCGAAGGCGTACACTCTTATATGAGCATCATATATTCATAAAATTGCCCAGAGAGTCAACTCATGCAGAAATTATCAATGGATCACTGTCTTTTTCACATCAAACAATATCTAAAAAATGAATCTTTGTGCAGCACTATGTGCCTAACTCAGATTTGATTTTGCCCATGTGTTGACATGCTTCCCAGCGGCATCACGCCCACATTCCAGATGCAACTCTCCAGTTATCGATAAAAACAATTCAGGAATGGCAACTGTCACCGGTATCTAGTATTTATGGTATGCTTGGTTTCTAAAGGGCATTGAAAACTAAACTAAGCTATTTTATCATGCTCGTCTAATGAATGCTAAGCCAGCCATGCTTTCAGCTAAGCATGAGTACATGGGTTGTAAATAAGTGACGTCCCACAGCGAAAAAAAGTAATGCCACGCAAAGAATAGTATAATGTACATGTATATTGTAAAGCTTACACTGTTTTTTAAACGCCTTATAGTTGTAAAATAATATGTGCAGCAGCTGTGTAAATATACCAACCGTAGGGATTGTGTGGGGATGGAGCCTGTCAGTGACAAGAGTTTGACTGCAATAGAGAGACCATCTCGTGGACCAACCCTGATCGATAACATCAAAGATTATTCATTAGAGTTCCCACAAAACTATTACAGAGAATTTGTACTTTTTTTCACCTGTTCATAATTCATATGAATTGATTTTTGCCGTTCACATGACAAGGTTCACAAGATTAACATGAATTAAGTTGCTTCTATATCATATTCAAATACAGTCTTAAATTGTTTTGATGCTGTTTGATCCTGTTCAAAATATTTAATAGGGAATTTTTGGGGGCTATCCTAAAGATATGTTTGTATACCAAGCCTTTTCTTTGAGAAAAAAAAAATCTACAGAGGAGTCAAAAAAATCTGAGAGTATTACTGAAAATGAAAATGTTCCTATTTTCCATTTTATTAATTACATTTTTATTGCCAATTCTCTCTCTCTCTCTCTCTCTCTCTCTCTCTC